ATTTACCGAGAGTAAGCCTAAGAGCTGAAGTAGGAGTGAGAAATAAAATGGATTTATTTCCTTACTCCTACTCCTTACTCCAGCTTACTCCATGTATTGTAGACCAGCCTTCAGACTTGCAATGCCGAACGCAGCTAGTGACACACTACTCCCTTTGTTTACCTAACAAGCCTTGGGGGGTCAATTCTGTATCTTGCAACATAGTGAAAATGCCAAGTCTTGCCTCACTTTTCAGCTCGAAGGTAGCAGTCTGTGGCTCCATCGCGTCGACTCGCGAGTAACAGCGCGACGGCTAAAGGGTTCAAAAAACGCCGCCGTTTTCACCGCGCGTATTTGCCAGTGAACTCTATACATACTGGAATGAGTGATCTATTGTTCTGGCTGTTTATAATGGCTGTATATAAATGACGAGAAGAAGGGCGTCACTTATATGCGATTATCCAATCAGGTAGTACTAGAAGGAGACAAGGATTCACCCAACGCACCTCTCTCTCGGCAACAGCCAGAACTATAGATCACTCATTCCAGTATGTATAGAGTTGACTGGTATTTACCGAAACTTCCGCGCGTTCTCTCCCGCCGCTTCGTCCTAACTTTCGTCCCAATCGGACATAATAAACAGTGTCGTATCGAAGATCTTGGATCACCCGTAGTCAAATACACTCGTCGTCGCGAGTCCCCTCGACGCGGCCGGCTGGAGGCGTTGCGGATTCGCCTACCTCGCGTTCAATATTCATAACTCGTAACGGACGTAACCGCGAGTAACGCAAGAAACGGACGCCCGCGTTCCCGCGGGAGGTGATTCGAGGCGCGCGAAACTTGGCGAGCGTCGGCGACGGCGGCGAAGACGACGGCTCGTCCCTAAGTCGCATTCCTATGCGACCAACGGAACGGGGGAGGGTCGGAGGTAGATAGAAGGTGAAGATCGATAGAGGTTCGTCGACTCCGCGACTGACCGACGACTCGATGCCCCACGATGGGCTTAGTTCATAACTTGACTGCGGAGTTACGGAAGCCGTGTGCCGCGGTAGCGCGTCGTGAAGCCCGGATTTGCATAATCGTAAACAGTCGATAAATCTAAAGATGCGAGATAAAACGGTGCCTCGTCGCGCCGAAAGAGCGTCTCGAGGCATTAGCGGCTACCTAAATACGCGAAGGCGAGCTTCGCTCGGATCCCTCATTGAGCCGACGGAGGAGAGCGCCTTTTCATCTCTTGCAATTCTCTACCGCGAGCATCGCAATACTTCAATTCGAATTACGCCAACTTGTGTCATTGCGGCGTAACTTTATCTACAGCAAATTCGGTTGTTTGCACTAGTGCGCACTAAGGCTTGTTTCCAGTCGATTCTTATATTTCAGAATCGTCTTAAAGATTTCTTATATTTAAGACAGAGTTAAATATAAGAATTGACTATAAACTGGCCTTAGTGCGAGCCCGGTCCGCAATTTAACCGACGTGTGTCCGCTAATTGTACAGTGACCGGTTGCGACACTTTTTTCGAGGAATATTTTACTCGACGGCCATTCCGAAACCACTTTGAGCGTTTTCAATCTACTGCTCGAGTAAAACTTTCCTCAGAGAAAATGTGTCTCGGAACAGTCGGAACGTAAACCTGAACCTGCGCGCGTTTCTAAGCACACTAAAAAGAAATTGCCGCAACCGTTCCGTCCGTCACTGCACCCGAGAGGTCAACTGTCGTGGCTGACACCTTGCAAACGTGTACGGAAGAGCCGAAATCAACTTGCCTTTCTACACGTGATTAATATTTTTCTAATACTCCAAAGCTCGAAGCCTTCTTTGAAAAAATAACCAGAGCGTTCGGTCGAGACGAACGCCTCAAAGTCGATCGTCCCGTGACGGTTTACTTCTCGGGTACAGGCACGGTCACAAATAGAAATCGCAAGAAACGATTTCGTCCTTCTCGCGGGAAATAGAAAAAGCGCCAAAGTCAACACGTTGACCAGACGGGACGCAACTTCGATCGGGGACGTAAAATGGACGTTACCTACTTGGAGCGAATTCGATAACGTCAGGGGGAAGCCGAGAGTGACACGACGTTGGCTCGGCGTCAGAGCTCGGTATATCGGAATACGCTCGCTCCTCGTCCTATCCGCGCGATAAACCGTCCTTTCGACGCGGCGTGTCTCGTCGAGGGACGAAATTTCCACGATCGTATCCGCCATTTTGTTTCTATTTCGCGTAACAGCGTGGCGTTTCACTTACCGAAGTTGCTCCCCGTGGGCTCCGCGGACGCTCCCGGAAGCCGCTACCCCCGTCGCTTAATCCGAGCGGGCGCCTATCACAGATTTTTCCACCTTTCCGGCACTCCCGAGGGGGGCGGCGAGTCGCCCGACGATCAACGTCGCGAGTCTCTCGCTCGCTCAGTCTCCTCCTGCCGAGTTTCACGATTGTCACAGGCAGCGGCGACTCGACGACGTTCTCGCGCGAGCCGGTTGACAATTTTCAAACGACTCCACTCGCACTGATTTACGCGGCCGATAGGTGGCGCGCGCCCGGCGCGCTTTTTCGGGCGTGTTTCGCGGGTCACGTTACCCCCGCGCGCCTCGTCGCAGCCGTTGCGACCACTCTGGGCATAATCCCGCGCCTCCGTGGTGTTCGTCCCGCGATGTGCGATGTCGCGCGCCTGTCCGTGACTCCTCCGGCAAGCACTCCAGTTTCGCTCCGCGGCAACGTTCACGTCGATGCGCTCGGCAGCAGCAGCATCATCTCGTCGCGGGCGGCGAGACTCGCCGGGGACGCTCGCTCGCGCGCGGAACCTGCTCGCTCGTCGCGTACTGCCGGCGCGACGGCATGGCGATCTCGCGGTACGGCGCGGCGCGGCGCGGCGCGACGCGGCCGGCGGTAGACAGACGCGCACCACACACCACCCGGGGGAAACGTCCTCTGACCGTCGTCGGCGCACCCGTACTGCCGCGCGCGTACACCCGTGCACGCACGGCGGAAGCGGCCGAGGGGGGGAGGTGGGCGACGGGCGACGATGTGCGACGACGTGCGACGATGACGCGCGAACGGAGAGAGAGACGGCGGGCGCGCAGCGGACGGAGCCGCTGGTGGCCGACTGCCGCCGACGAACGCGGCGAACGCGGACCAACGGGACACGGCAGGGTGCGCTCCGAGAGCGATCAGCTGATCGCCACGCGCGGCTGCTCGACGGCGCGACTCCGACGTCAGCGGCTGCTCCCGGCTCCACCGGTGGGCTCGCACCCGCGGCGACTCATCGAGAGGCCTCGCCCGCGCTTCCTCGCGCGTTAGGACACACGCGCGCGCACGCACGCGCGCACGCACGCACGGCCGCCGGGCTTCCTCGCTGTTCGTTGTGTACCGCGGCACGTGCGACACCGAGCACCCGTGCTTGCGTGCCGTCTCTGTGCGCACGCACGTGGGCACGCGCGCAAATATCTGGGGTGTCTCTCTCTCTCTTTCTCTCTTCTCTCTCCCTCTCTCTCTCTCTCTCTCTCTATCTATCTATCTCCTTCTCTCCGTTCCGTCGATTCGCGCGGCGAGACGCAGGGAGACACGTGCGAGAAGAGAGACGGAGGAAGGCACGACGGTAAACTGAAAGAGGGGGAGAGACAGAGAATGAAAACGAGAGAAATGAGAAAGAAAAGGGCGGGAAGACCTAAGCACCTAAGCGCGACTCGTCACGCGGCTTGAACGGCGAAGCGAACGGCCGAGCGTGACAGGAAAGGAAAATCACGAGGCGAGCGTTAGTGATGGCGCGAGCGACAACGTACGCCATCCGCTCGTGTCGGCAGCCGGGCGTGCACTGCCTTCCCGAGTCGTCGGTTGGCTCTCCATCCTCGACTCCGGCCCGATCGCGCGCGACCGGAGCCGCCGCTCGCCCGTATCGCGTGCGCCGCGACGGGCCCGCCGGCTCGATGGGCTTATACTTACCGCACGCGGTAGAGGGATAGGCAATCAATTAGGAGAGATATCGATTCGAATCCAAGTACTTTTCGGGAACATGGGAAAGGATCGGGTGACTCTTGATCTTTTCGCCGGGATCGGCTGCACCTGACGTCTCGATCAGCACTAACCTGGGTCAACCCGACGTTTCGGCCTTTTCCTCCTCGATGTGTATGAAGACTGATAGCTTATCTTATTCCTCTTGGACCACGTAAAATAATAATGACACCAGGGGCCTTGCGGCAGTTACTTTATAAAAGTATCTAGTTACAGTTTTGTCGACAAAAATGTAACTACACTGAAAAAATATCTAGTATTTGAAATTATAATTGCATAGTAAAATAATTAGGGTCGAAAATATCGTTTTTATAGTAATTATTGCTATAATGTTAGTGACAATATAGACACAGTAGTGCCAACTATTTTAAAAAATTACTATAAAATATAAGTTTGTAACTATTATTCTGTTAAAATGTCAAGGTAATGAATAGTAAATTAGTTAATGATTTTTATATAGTAAACACAATCGCAATAATAGTAAATTTAACATTTCTATCATCCACCTTATTAATCACACGGTAAACAAAAGTGAAGTGTATGTTTAATGAAACTAGGGTTGAGAAGTAACTCGTCACTCTTGTAACGAAGTTACAGTTACAGTTACTTTTTTTGGCAACTCTAACTTAACTTCGTTACTTTCTCTACATCTGTAACTATAACTTGACTCAGTTACATCAATAGTTGCTTTATATATATTTTTTTATCTCCATAGATCGCACTAGGCCTTGCGTTTGCGCAGCACAGACACCTTTATCGACACTTAACAATTCAAATGCAAGGCCCAATGCGATCCGTGGTGATTTAAAATACATATAAAGTAACTATTAATGTAACTGAGTTAAGTTACAGTTACAAATGGAGAGAAAGCAACGAAGGAACCGTACAAGTAACGAAGTTACTTCTCAACCGTGAATGACATGTATGTACAAATGCGCAAAGTTAAATTTGAACATCTGTTTGTAATCGACGATAATAATAACTAATTATTGCGTGATTCGATGCTGGAGAAGTGTTAAGTGCCAGTGGTTGTAGCTATTAATCTGGTAAAGTCCGGAATGAAATTTAGCGCAATCAGAAAAATGGAACTGAAGAACGGAACGAATATATGATTTGCAAAGAACACTGGAGTATCGACTGGGAAATTTATTAGAATATCACTATCACTTCTTGCATCAGACTGGAAAGAGCATCTCTTTTCCTGCGTTATTTATAACATATCGTTATCGATGTACTTTCTCTTGAGCTTATACAGCTTTACATAATTCGATCTAAACTTTCTGTTCTCGTACCATCGATAGCTCTCGCAATTGCTTCGAGCACAATAAATTCGAAAACAATAATGGTGAATAGTAATTTATACAAAGTAGAAATTGTACACGATTTATGCATCGTTTCTGGGCATAAAATTATTGTCAATGATTGTGAAGGAGATTATCAAAATCGATCTTTAAATAACTTTGACGTATTATCTAACAAAGAGTCTTGCGAAAAGCGCAAGTGTACTCGCTCGGCCGAGGATTAGACGCATTGCGGCATCTTCATACGAGGACGTCGCTTTACGACTTTAGTTATCCTGACGTCCGTTCTGTAAAAGTTTTCGCAATGATCGCGAATTTATCGACTTGTAGGAAGTCTGAACTTTTCAATTGAAATCGTTCTGGATGTTTGAGTCGCTGAGCCTCTTTCGTTAACGATTTACAGAGCCCGAACGATGCAATAGCATGACTATGTATTCACGACGTGACGCTTTCTTTTTCATTCGAACGACATAATGTAACTCACTATCAGAATTAAAGCGGATAATCTGTAAAGCCGCACGTTCCCGCACCGTGTGTGTGTGTGTAAAAAAGCGTTTAACTGCTGAGCGGGAAAATTAGCTCGAGC